CTCTCGTTTTCACTGAACTTGAGTTGACTCCTTCACATTCACCATGGCAACCTCGATGATCAACATGTACATGGACTCTGAAGTGTGCTGCCAAAACTTTCCAACCTTGATAATGAATAGGTATGAACTCCATTTATATAAGCCTCTCTCAACAAGTCACTGCAAAGCTGATGTAATTCTAGAGTGATACTGCTTTCTCACAGCACACGACTGCAAAGGTCTAATCCGGAACTGCAATCTTATGGGGACATTTGTGTTTTTCCCCTGCTAAAACCCTGTTGGTTCCCTTCTTACCCTAACATTGATCAATATAGCTTGCTTTGCATCCTCTCAGTTTAAACAAAGAAAGTAGCACTGGAAGGCAAATATTGCTGGAGCAGACAACTTTGGTTTAATGCTTCTTTTCATTTAGTGGGAATGCAAGCCTCAGCCTCTCTAATATTTAACCGAAGCAGGTCCCCATTTGCTTCTCTGTTTAGTCGCTCTTTTATGGAGGCCAGTTGCTGCTCCTGCAGCGGCCGTAGCCATTCCTAATCGGGAGCAAGTTGCCTCGGTATCCTAATGGCTTAAACCTGCTGGATTGCTACCTAGAACCTGCACCCCAAATTGGCATCAGAAATAGCTCTTTTATAAATGAAAGCATTGCAGTATTTTATCATAAGAGATAAGCTTTTAGAATACAATTTTATTTCAGTCTTGTACCACTAGGTATTTTATCAGATTCCTTTTACATGAACTGAGGCTTGAGCATTGATTTCCTAACGAAAAAATGACTTTGGTTCTACTTCATATTACTTAAAGCCTTTTCCATAAATTGGGCCTCTTTTTTTAACTTACCGAGAAAATTTTATACTCAAGGGTAGTTAATATTCCTTCCACTTAACTATTTAGGTAAGTTTAATCACATATTAATGATTATTAAAGTGAACTGGAAAATATTATATGGTTGTTATTTCTGTTAGAGCTCCTGAGGAGACTCGAAATCAAAGCCTCTTTCCAAGTATTATTTATATATTTTTTTCAAAACATTGCTGTAGATCTGAGTGGTGAACATAACATTTGTATAACTTCAAATTTTGATCAGTCCAACTGTCTTTTAATGTTTCATAAAAATAGCATGTTAGCCATGATGACAAGGCACCTTCAAAAACTATACTTGTTATTACCTTTCTGTGGCCCCTTTTGAGACAAACAGTCTTACTGGACATTGATTTGTTTAGTCTTACCAAATACAACTTCAGATAAGAGACAAAGCAAACTTTTTTTATGTATGCACTGAGAGCCACTTGTATTGGAAAAACAAATATAATAGGACTGAATTTTTTTGTTGAAACAAATTATATTAAGTGAATCTAAAGCCTCAGTGAAAAACATGTCTTTTACACAAATACGCACATTGAACCCTGTGCTGGCATTGAAGATGGAGTTCTGCAAAGCCTCCCAGCACCACAGTAACACCCCTTCTCTGAATTACATCAAACTAGTTGGGACTTGATGAAAGAATGCGAGGTATAAACCCCTTGAGGGCCTGTGAGTCACCATCTAGAAAGGCTCTTGAAAGGGTAAGAACATTTTATAGTTTGATCAATAGGAGTCTGAGAATAGGCTGCAGGGTAAAGACAAGTTGAGGATTAAAAACTTTTGGAAACTTAAAGAATTGAATTACTCCCCTAAGGAAGTTCCCAGGAGAGAAAGAGACAGACAGACAGAAAGACTTTTTTATCAGATCTCAAGCAGCAACCTTTCTGTTCGGTCAGAATTCAGCTAAAATAGATTTGATGGTCATCGGCCCTTGTTATCTTAGTCTTGATGTGGAATTGTGAAACCCAGAGTATCTTTTAGGGACCCAATTACCTGCTGTATGGTAGTTTTGGGTCTATGTCAAGAGGCGGTTGAGGACGGTGTTGGAGACTTCAAGATTAGAGCAGCTTTTCCATAGAATATTTCATCGAAAGAGGCCCTTATTCTATTTTTCTAGCCAGAATGAGCTTTTACTTTGAAAATGTATGAAGCAGTGTGGGTAGTTGGGTCTTCCTCTCTCTCATCACTGTTATTTTAGTGTAAGTTAACAATCTGTTGCATTAATAGGGTTATCAGAATTTAGATTCTGTTCGTAAAGGAGGCAGGCAGTTCAATGCTGTGGCCACTGGAGCACGTCCAAAAGTAATAACTAAGAGAGTCTGGATAAGAATTGCTACACTCAGAACAGGTTGTAAGAGGAATTTCCAGTCCTTTGGGTTTTGCCCTATTCTTAGAAAATTTACAGAACCCTGCCATGCGACAGAAGTAAATAAATGCTGAGATTTTCAAGAACTACTGTTCATGTGCTGGGCCCAGCATGAGAAGATCAGAGTGTGAACTTCTCCAGGCCAAGTCCATGGGCCTCTTTCCTGGGTGATAGGCTACAGGGTAGACATGGTGGCCATGAGCACAGGAAGTGGTGGCAAGGAAAGGTAAGCCCCAAGTAAGGAATCATGTCCTTGGTGTTGGAGTTGCATCCAGCGCAAAGCCCCTTTTCCATTTTTCCTTCTTGGGTTACACTGAAGAGGCTTTGTGTGGAGCAGTTCTTGGTACATCTAATCAGAATTATGAGGAAAGCTGGTTTGCTTGATGAGACATCAAAGAGAGAAAGCTGGAGCCAACCGGAAGTGGGTAAATGAAAGAGGGAGATTGGGTAAGGTGGTCAGCCCAGTCTAGATTGCTTCTGGCTTTGTACTAGTCCCATGCATGCCTTGCCAGGACTTCTCACTCTCTTATTTCTGTAATAGGTGCTCACTCCTGCAGGGAGCCAGCTAACTTGCACTTGAACACTATGCAACAAGATAGGAGGAGCCTGTCAGCATCTTCTGTTCCTAGATCTTATTTTCTGGGTAAAGAGATGCAAGTGTCTGACTAGTTAGATGACCACCTGAGATACCATCTCTTCACCGGGAACTTCCCGAGGAGCAACCAGATGACCGTTGTGGAACATGGTGTTTCCCCTGTTGCCAGAGGGGTGATCATAGGTTTTGTACAAAAATATGAAACATTTAAAGAATACTATAGGGCACCTGGGTGGCTCAGTTGGTTAAGCGACTGCCTTCGGCTCAGGTCATGATCCTGGAGTCCCAGGATCGAGTCCCACATCGGGCTCCCTGCTCAGCAGGGAGTCTGCTTCTCCCTCTGACCCTCTTCCCTCTCGTGCTCTCTCTCATTCTCTCTCAAATAAATAAATAAAATCTTTAAAAAAAAATACTATAGAAGACCTACTCATAAGGACATAAAAACACTTCTGTGCAAAGAGTCAGAAAAAAAATTATAGTTTTTTTTCATTGAAATTAAGTTGCATACTCATTTATGAACACTGAACCCAAAAGACCTGAGGTTTTTCCACTTTAGAGAAGTAGTCTAAACTTGCCTCAGTCTCCTTGGATGGAAAACTTAAACTCTTCTCCCATTTGGTGCTTCTTGCAGTTTATGATTCTTAGCTCAGACTCTTTCTCTAATGTACCAGTAGGAGAAAAAAAGTATTTCAGGGCTATTCTGGAATAAAAGTCTTTCTGGTCAAACCAGTGAAACAGGTATCACACCTGCTCTGTTAGGAACCCAAGCTCACCTAACCTGGGTTCTAAGTCTGGACACAGCATCCAGCCGAGTGGTACTTAGACCCTCTCCACAAACCGATCCTCTTAGGCAGTCTTTCTTCTGAAACATTATGTATTTCTAAATGAGGAGGGAAAGAAGTAAAATAGCTTTCTCGTCCAGGAATACTTTTTCATAAGGCCAACTTCAGACCTGGCAGAGATGCCTTCAGAGAAGGCAGTCATGTGAAAGTCAGGGTGAAGGGATTTGAAATTGACAGAGGAATGCAGACTTAACTTTTCTCCAGAAAGGTGACTTTTTGGTCTCATGTCTTCCATTTTCATTAATCAGGAGTAGTGCTTTATAAAACAAAACAAAACAACCTTCTGTTCCATGCCCCAGGCAGCTTCCTGTGTAATGCAATTTGTGACAGCTAGTCAGGTGTTCGGTCGGAATTTTCCCCTTGAACTCTGGTTGTGGGGCTTCTTGGATCCTCTTAGGAAACAGCTTACAGAGCTCTCATTTAGGCCTGCCTGTTCTTTTCTGATGTTTCCCTCAGTTTCTTCTTTTCTCAGATCCTTCTTCAGAGGGTCATTTTGGACAGGAAGACATAGACTCAAAATGATGAGGTGTTTTCGTTCACAGTCTGGAAAAGTGATAATGTGTATAGGTGCTCCTGGGAATGGAGACAGGAAGCATCATCCCCCAGGTGTCCATGTACAGTGCGGGCCTTTACTCTCAGAGTGACCCTTTACTCTTCTGCCACCATAGTCACCTGCAGATCTCAGGGCCTTTTATAACTGCTCGTCATGTTCAAGAACTCTAATGAAGAGATTATTGTTTCTATTTACAGATCGGAAGACTAAGGATGAAAGGAAAATTAGCATTGGAATTGAATCCTGTCAGTTTTTTATTTCCCTCTTTAAATCGAACTGTATTTCCCCCCCAAATCAAAAATGAGTTAGAGCCACTTAATGAAAAAAAAATCCATATGCAATATCGTACAGTGTTAAATTCGCAATTGTTATAGTCGATGAAATACCTTTGTAATTTGTGTGTCTAGATCTTAAAACTAGGTGTGTTGAAAGACCGGTTCCCACCTAGCTTTCTCTCATGCATGTAAATTTAGTGCAAGCCTCTGTTTTAAGGAGCTTTATGTGGTTGGATTGACATTGCTTAATCAACAATTGAAAAAGTTAAGCATAACCTAGAAGTCATTTAGAACTATGAGTCACTTTCCTGACAAGCCAATAAGGCAAGAGAACCTGGGTTGCAAAACAATTACTAGCCCAGCCTGAGGGACCCTGGAAATACGTTACAAGTATCAGTTAAGAGAAACAAAGCTGCAGTGTTTTACCAAGCTGCAGAGAACAAGCTAAGGTTGCTAACCAAACAAAATAACTTTACACTGACAATGCCAATTTTTTTTTTTGTTTCAGAACAAGGGACGCTCAAACCACTGGAGGTAAGATTAACATTTAATTTTTTTTATACATAACTTTTGCATTTTGGGTTGTTTGCTAACTTAAACAGGCTTGAGCTTTTAGAATGTGAAGTGTACCTCTTAAAATGGATAGAAACAGAACTACAGTGAGCAACCAAGTCCTTGTGAATGAAATGCACAGGTTAAATCAGAGGAGTTTTCAGTCAGTCGCTGCCTGAAGATCTTAGGTAAAGGAAAAATGTGAATATTCAAGAATATGTGTGAAATGGAACTTTTCAGAATCTTAGTACTTAGGTAAATTTCAAATATTGTTACAATGTGTGGCACGGATATGGGGATACTTTTCCCTAGCTTCCTGCAGAATTCCACAAACCCCTGGAGTTTATAAAATTTAATGCATCTGTATTCATTGGAATGAGTATCTTTGATTCTGCTGGTACAGAAGGATGGTAGCCCTCATCCCAGGGAACTGGTAGACCTGTCCCTGTCATGAAACATTGCATTGCTGCCCAACATTTGCTAGTCCTGAAAAGTTCTAACATTGTTCATCTAAGGATGTGGATTCATATTTCTAGTAGTTTTCTGTTTTGAGCACAAACATGATTTGTATCATGTCTTATTGATCAAAGCAAGATCGGATAACATTTTCTTTTGGTTTAACACAGTCTAAGGTCTAATGGCTTAGAACTGTGTGATCTCTGTCACCTCTCAGAATAAGCTATTTTTTAAAAATGTGAAAGAATGAAAAATATGACGGGTTCTGGACCATTGCCTTGGCCTTTAACCGAAAGTAGCAAATTTCTCACCTGACCTCCAAAAATAAAATCACTGAGAAAATTAAAATATAAAATGCATGTGATTGGTTATAGGAACCAAAAGTATAGTAACTTGAGAATTTCGGAGTAAAAGAATAACAAAAAAATTCTATACAAAATTATTTTAACAGATTATATCATAAAGAGTGGTGTAATATTGTTTAAGGCTGGCATTTATATAGGTGGTAAAAATAATGAAAAGTACAGTAAGGCATCAGATAAGATTGTTTCTGCTTCTCTTTTGCACAAGCGTGTCATTTGCACGTAGGGTGTCAAGAGTGTTGTGAGGATGCTCATATGCACCTCTTTGGTGTATCAGTGAACTATATTTTAAAGTCTAGAATCTAGATCAAGGAATATTTTTTGAAATAGTTCACATAAGTTCTTCTAGGGCTAAAATGTGAAATTTCGTTCAGTGTTTAGTTGACAGGTACGGTTTTTCATGAGGACTATAAGGATGCTGCCTCTGAAGATCTTGGAACACAGCTTGCTTCTCTTATTCTCATGTTATCCTTAGATTATTGAGACAGAGTTCCTTTTAGAGCTGTGATCTTTGTTACTTTACAGAAGATACTTTTTTCCCCAAAGAAGATGATTTCACTTGATTTTATTTAAGTGATGTGAAGTGAGTATATTTACAGAAAGTGTGCTCATAAGGAGTGGTTAATAATTTTCACATGATACTAAATTCTCTCCAGGCATTTTATCCTCTTAAAAAAATTACATGGAAGCCTATTATGAAATGAATTCATTTTCACGTTGACTTTTCTTAATGCGGCATCAGTGGTTTAGTGACTTGCTTAACTTTTGGATACAATAAGTGCAATTTTTATTTAATACGTGATTCTGCTAATAACCTTTATTTTGAATGTATAATTATAGTTACTGGCCAACCTATTTGGAAATCTTAGCTTGGTTTAAGGAGAAATGTAGCAAAAGAACGTTAAGAAGCATCTTTCACTTTATACCTCTTCACCAAGACTGTATGGAAGGCAGTTTAACTCTCTGAGGCAGATGCTTTATGTTCCAGTCTTCCCAGAAATAAACAACGTGCTCTGTGATCTGCATATCAACCCGCTCTTGTGAAGATCTTTCTCCCCATATACCAGTTTGTGGTCCTATTCTTTTCCCCTTTCAATAGCTATGATTGTGACTTTTTTAATTTTTAATTTTACACTTCATTCTCGAGGTAGGTAGGTCAGTTTTCAATAGCCACAACATCTGTAGGCCTTCATGACAACACCTGGGATGTTCATCCCACATCCCATTTTGGAGTGGACCTTCAGAAGGTACCTCTAGCTGTAGGAAGTAAGATTATCATTTGTATCCATTCAAAGTATCTGTTTAACACATATGTACTCTAAATCCATTCCTTAAAGGGTTTTTCACCTTTAAAACAGAGGAACCAAAGCCAGTTCCATAGCAAATGAACCTTTGCTTATTTTGTTGGTAAAATCAACAGAGAATTAAATTTCTCCCAAGAGGCAAGAAGAGATTCTTGGGTGATAAAAGTAGTTCTTTTAGAGAAAGACAAGGTAATAGGTAATGAAGCAAGAAATAACTCAAATGCTTCTAAAATTAGGTTGGTTGGTTGTCCCCTCCCCTGCCCTTCTAGGTTGATCAAAGAAGATTGAGAAGGTTCTGAAGATCAATTCTCCTGATCTCATGGAGCTGTACGTGACAAGCTCCCAGGGGTTGTGCCCTCTTGTTTTCTCTCCTCTCCCTGCTGGGGACAAAAGCGCTGTCCCAGGCTTCTGAGAATACAGGTGGGGGAGGGGAGTGTGTTGGATGGAATATGACAGAATGACAATTGAAATTAGCATTTTAAAATTGTTTAAATATGCTCTGTTAAACATTTCCTAAATTTCTTACAATGTAAAATACTTTTATAGGTGCTTTAGAAGTATAATAAATCTCCAGAGGTATTTGGTCTAAGTAGCTTAAAAATTTTTTTTCAATGCAGCAAATCATAATTCCACTGCCCACTCTTCCTGTAGAAAAGTCTGTTTTCAGGCTCACTGATTTTTAGGAGGAAAAACCTTAAACATAAGCAGTAGGGTAACAACTTAGAAAAATTGTTTGTAATTTGTGTGCATTTAAACAGTCAAAATAGGAGCTCCAGTGGCGCAATTGGTTAGTGCGCAGTACTTAGTCAAAATACCATGAAGTTTAATAATAATAATAAGCTGTCACTTAGTAATCCTTATTGCATGACAGCAACTGTTCCAGTCATTTCACATGATTCATTTAATTCTCACAAATGCTGTGAAGTGGTGCTATTATTATCCCCATTTTTATAGGTGAGAAAACTGAGGCACAGAGATGTTAACTAACTTGTTCACAATCAAATAGCAGGTGCCAAGTGACAAGGTCTGAATTTGAACTCTGGCAGTCTGATTCTAGAATCCATATTCTTAATAATTATACCATGCTCTCTATATTTTTCACATAGTATGATATTTGTTTCAGGTGTACAATACAGTGACAAGTGTACTCTTTAATCTCCATCACCTATTTCACTCACCCCACCCTCTCCCCTCTGGAAACCACCAGTTTGTTCTCTGTATTTAAGAGTCTGTTTTTTGTTTGTTTTCTCTTTTTTTCTTTGTTCATTTTTTTTTTAAATTCCACATATGAGTGAAATCATGTGGTATTTGTCTTTCTCTGACTTTTTTCACTTAGTTTGTACCCTCTAGGTACATCTGTGTTGTTGCAAATTGTTCTCTACTTTATTCCTAACTTCAAGGTTTTTTTTTGTTGGTCTTAAACTCAAAGGCTCTTTTTCACATTTTAAGTCTATAATTTTATTTTTTTTATAAAGATTTTATTTATTTGTCGGAGAGAGAGAACTAGCACAAGCAGGGGGAGCTGCAGGCAGAGGAGAAGCAGGCTCCCCGCTGAGCAAGGAACCTGATGCTGGACTCCATCCGAGGACCCTGGGATCATGACCTGAGCGGAAGGCAGACGCTTAACTGACTGAGCCACCCAGGCATCCCTTAAGTCTATAATTTTTAAATGGTACTAATTCAGGGATTCCAGGACTAGGACCCAAAGGTTGAATTCCTTTCTTGCCTCTAAGCATTTTGATAGTAGAAGATATAAGAACATAGAAAGACAGCTTCTACTGTACATTAAGAAGGTGAAGGGATATGTAGGAAGTAAATAGCAACCTGATATCCATCATTATATATTTTCCTGTTGAAAATATTGTCCCTTGCATTCATTGTCCTTTATAGAGCTATAAAGAATGCTATACCATTTCGGATAGAAAAGAGATTTTCTCTGAAAGCAGCTTTCTTCCAAATTATCAGCTATGAATCTTTGACTCTCATGTTTCCCCTTTCTGTGCCTTGGCTACCAAGAAGCCCAGAGTGACATTTTCTTCTCACTTATAATGGCCTTCTTTATACTAGTTTTTCCAGTATGGCTGTCTGTCTTGCTCAACACAGGTTCAACACTGATCTTAATGGTCATATTCAGAATTTACAAATCCATTTTGAAAGTAGTTGGGTTAAAAACACAAAATTTTAAAATTTTTCCAGTTTGCTTTCACCTTGAGAAAACTGAACGTCTGCTTGATGGGCTTCGAGGCCATTAAGAAAGCTTTAAGACCCTATTTCACCCATTTAACTTGTGAATGAAAACAGGAAGAACCCCAAGAAAAATCCGTGGCTAATGTGTGCTTGGCAAAGCCACATGTGCTCTGAATGAAACCAAGTCTCCTCCACACATAGGCACAAACCCCAACACACATAGGGAGAAAATTGCTTTTGTGAAAATCTAAATTATATGGTAGTTATAGACTCAGCATTTCATCCAGTTGTGTAATAAAAAGTGATAATCAAGTCCTTATTAATTAGTGAGATTACTGTAGTTATTAGGTGGAAATGAATTTAATTCCATGTGAAATTGAACACGTAACCATGCATTTTCAAACATTTAAAATTTCTTTTGCATCTTCTAATTTTCGTAATGCACAATGTTTCTTACGGCTTTTTCTGTGATAAGAATTCACTTTCATGGTTCACAAGCTGCATGCCTATGTTATTTCTTCAAGTACTGAGATACAAGTGACCATAATTAAAACACCATTCTCAGTTAAGTGTGTGTTAAAGTCAGAGCTTCAGATCTCTGTTTTGAGGTTCTCCAGTCTCTGACCTCTCAGGACTCAGAAATAGCTGAGTTAGAGTTTTGGAGTTTACATGTCTTTGCTGGGGCATTTTCCAACCAAGAATAGCTACTTTTTTTTTGTTCTCATAATTCCTGTAGTCATTACAACTTTAAAAAAAAAAAGGGGGGGGGTTTTTTTGAGTCATCGTACCCAGAGATGGCAAATGAAAAGATGTTTCTTTTCTATGGCATAATATCAACAACATCAAATATAGATGTTCAAGTGGAAGACTTATTAGAGAAGCAAAAAGTTTAAATTATAAAAACTGTAGAACCATGTGTTTTGATCAAATTTAGTCATACTTTTAAATGGAGAAAGTGCAACATTAATTGGCCTTCAAAGTACCGTGTACTAATACAATTTAATAACGTGAAATCTAATCTTTGTTTTGCTTTGTTTTACTTTTCTGCACAGAAACGGGCCAATGGACTCCGAAGAAGCCCCAGACAGGTGGATCCAGGTGTGTTTCTGATTACATGTCTATAATCATGACTTCAGTTAAGCGATTATGAAAGTATATGGGAATTGCTATAGAAATCAGACAGATTGTTGGCCTTTGTTCCTGGCAGTTTGGTATGTAATGTGTGACCAGGAGGCGCCAGTCTAACGTGTAAATCATTTACCTGACGGTGCTTCCTGGGACAGGCTCACATGATGAGTAACCACCAGTACCACACTCTTTCAAGAACCATTGACTGAGCTGGTTATTTTCTTGCTGAACAGCCTCAGGCTGTTGGGTTAATGCTAACATATCCAATGCCCTCCACCTTCTCCCTCCCAAATATGGAAAGAAAATCAACCAACAAGTTGGCACTTAAAAATTAACTTTTCTAAGGTGGTGGAGGGAGCTCGTAAACTAGACAATCTTGGTACCCTCTGCATTTGGGAAAATACTTTCTTCACCCTTTATCTGTACTATTTTATAATGGAAGAATGAATTTAAGGACTTTGTGAATAAGTACCCTCCTTGGGGGCCAATTATTTGTCTGCAGAGAGCATTCAGTTGTTTTCTATTTAACATCGTGAGGTTTGCCCTGTCATTATTTTAGTATAATTATTTTTTCATCCATTAAGCAATGCCTTCCACAGTTTAATTACCAAAGATTTGCTATGTATATGGTCCTATTATTTTGGGTAAAGGGTATTCATAGCTAAAGGATTCAAAATATATGAACTTGACAATAAATCAGGTGGGACATGAAGTAAACCTGCTGGAAAATAATCTGAATTATGTGTTTTGTTTTCTCATCATAAACAGTGTTCACCCAGTTGTAAAGTTTAGCTTTCAAAGCATTATAGCTTTTAACTGAAACCACACCCATGGTAGCCATGCCAGTTTATGAGCTGTTTGAAAAGATTTATAGAAGCTTTGTTGCCTCTGGCTAGAAATTGCCTCACTTATGTCCTGAGATCAGTTTAAATCTTCCAACTACAGAACAAAATTGAGGCCATTTAAAAAATAGGGGTTCTGGTTTATTTTAATAGTTTGAACTTTCCCAACACAAAACCCTTTGCAGAGGTTTTTTTTTTAATATTTAGAAGTGACTTCTTCTGTTCTATTTAGTATGATTGTCAGCATATTTTTTTTTTCTTATTTTGTGTGAGTTGTAGTATTTTTATTTCAGAAAACGATCTAACCTTTACAAGTGTTATTTTAAAAATATTTTCTCTTCTATGGGCATTTTCATTTAATCCATTTTCTTCCAGGGAAATGAATTTCTATAGTGTGTCGGTAGGAACACATTTGGCAATTAACAATTTATAGCTAGAATTTTTAGGAGCTCTTAGATTATTTAAGTAGAGGTATAGTGAATTCATAGATTGTTTAAGTGTAACAAAGTCGATGAGTAATATGATAGTTTATCCTCAAGTTGATGGCTCTGTATAGGTACTGCTGTTCTGGTATTCCTAATTGTCCACAAAGATTTTAGAACTTCATGAAGAATAAACTTACAAATACAAAAGAAGGAGTCCTATATGTTATGTTTGTAAGAGAAAAATATGTACACACATAAACACACACCTACACACATTGTATATCATACAGTTTTCCATTAGGTATGGTAATTATATATGAGCATTTTCTCATTTCTCCACATTTATGAAAAAAAAAAAGCAAAAACAAAGGGTTGATGATCTTGCCTGTTGTAGATGCTAATGTGATGATAACTGTTTCTCTCTGTGGTGTCTTTTGATGTTAGGCTTGAATTATGTGTTTAGAGTTGGTTGTCTTTTGCATCTTTGCTTCTTTCAGTTGGTAAGTTGCAGAGCTTTTTTGTTAAAAGCTAACCCTTGCTTGACCACTGCCCTGTGCTGAGTTGTCCTGATGTAACTATCATTTAGCATACTTTCACAGTTTGTACATTCGTTCCAAGATGTTTAAATAAAAAATTAGCAAAACTGAGGCTTCCTTAGCAAGGACAAACTGCTCCAAGGGGCATTATTTGCTGTTAGTGCTTTTACTGTGGAAATTCCTTTAATCTTTTCTAGCTAATTTAGTTGACATCTCCAAGTGCTGATACACTGACTGCTTCCCAGGGTCTCACTTAGGATGGCTTGTAGAAAAAATTGATTAACTATAAACCTTTTTTTGGAAAGGAACTTAATGCATAGTTTTATGGGTAGTAGGTGCCTAATAATTGTTAAATGAATTAATGAATAGCCGTATGCTTTTTCTGCACGCATTGGCTCTCTTGTTTTTAACCCCCCTGCTCTTGACAAAGTGGATGGATGTAGTAATAGAGCACTGAATAATCTAGTGGTGAGAAAGAAGCATGGCTCTGAGGCACATTGCCTGGGCTGGGGTCCCAACTTAAGTGCTCATTTGCTGTTGACCTGTGGCAATTTCTTTCATTCTCTCTCTGCTGTAGTTTCCTCATTAAAAGGACACTAATAATGGTACCTACCTTACAAAGTTGTTGTGAGCATTACATGAGTTAATAGGTATACAGCACTTACAACAGCACCAGCTATGCAGTAAATGTGGAGGGGTGCCGTTATTATAATTATTACTTTATTATAGAGCATGAAACTTAATATGGGAACTTTAGTCATTATTTGCCAGTTATTTCTTTGCAAACAGACCCAGAATTTTATGTTGATTTTCCACTGAAGCTAGAAGTTCCAGAATTACAGTTGTTTTCAGATTTGCAGTTATTCCCTGCTTCTCTGATGGATTTCTGTGATATTTTGTATATCTTTAAGAGAAGCAATCAACAATGGTGGTTGAGAGTTTTTTGGTGAAGCTAGTGTTTGTGATTGCATTAAAGAAACAAAAGAAAGGAAAACCTCCCAAGTTGAAAACATATAATGTGGGGTTCTATTCAAACTAAGAAAAATGTGATCTACAGGTTTGCAGTGTGTCTTGTTAGCACATTTTAAACATTCACTCTTGGGCCGCCTGGGTGGCTCAATCAGTTAAGCATCCTGCTCTTGATCTCAGCTCAGGTCTTGGTCTCAGGGTCATGAATTCAAGCTCCATGGTGGGTGTGGAACCTATTTAAAAACAAAAACAAAAAACATTCACTCTTAATTAATAATTGTGGTTAATCTTTATAGAAAATATTTACAAATGGCTTTGCAGTTTATTTTTTCTTCTATTGTGTGCTAAGAAATTTATCAATTTATGATCTTGACTACTTATAGATAAAGTAATGTGTTAGATGCAAATTCTGGTAACTCTTTTGGATATCTTAAATATAGCAGGATATTTTCATCAGTTTGTACTTTTCTTCCTAAGACAGATGTTGGTTTCAGGAAAATAACACTTGTAAGAGACAGATCAATTATTTCAGGAACACAGAGGTGCTAGGCCTTTTTCAAGAACATGAGATCATAAATCTCAAAATCTGAGCACTGTTGTAATATTTATCATTTTACTAAAGTGGCACTCAAGGTCAAAGTTACCAATTAAATTTTAATACTGAACTTTAAAAATTTCCTTCTACGTATAAAATATACAAGATTTATTTTAGTTTGCATGTGGCAAATCTATATACCAGGACATGTGTTCTTTTGATCAAGCCCATGTTTTTGTCTTAAATTTGTGCACTTCATAGCATCTCAGTCACTAGCTTTTAAAAAAATTCAGGCCATTGTTCTGTATTGTGCTGCCTAAAGATTAGATGGAGTAGATGGCAGATATTTAGGTAGCTCATTTTCTTTCTGATCTTAAGTTACCCATGTGATTCCTGATAACCTTGAGTAGTAAATGAAGAGATAATGGTTAAATGATAAAAGAGTTCTTTTGGAGAGCTCTTGCTTTTCATATGCTTATTGTAACTTTTGATTACAAAGAGAAACATGTGGCTTGGAAACATTGTCTTTTCTTATTCACTGAGGAGATGTCCTACAGTTTTTTAGCAGAGGTACCTTCAAAGGTGGTCACTTTCTCTTTCAGGTGGATAGGATTGACATGTAATGCCATTCCTATTTGTTCTTGTATGAAGAAAGGAATTCAAGAACTCTTTCATTACCAGCTTTGTATACCACAATAAGCACCAGCAATATCATTAATTATAAAACATAGCTCCTTTTCATAAGGAATTTCTGTTCTGCCTGAAGAAGGAACAGATACAGGCACAAAGTCTTAATTGCATAAATGCATGTATATGGGTGTACATATGAAAATATTTGAATATTACATTACTGTTTTATATACTGACTCACTATGCTATGGCAAGTGTCATAAACACAGTGAATAGTCTGATAAACACATAAAAAATCTAATTATGTAGTATGTGCAAAAAAGCAAATGGAATTGAAAGAGAGAAGCACATGTGGGCTCATACTGCTTTTAGTCTGGGTTGTCTATATATGTTTTTATTTATGTAAATAGCAATTTTGTTATGCTGGTTTTTTGTATTGAATCACAATTTAATACAGTTTTCCTTAACGTTTTAATTTCAAACAATTGTTGAACTCATTCCAAATCTGAACAGGATTGTTGATTTCTTCTAGCTTTGCTTCTAAACATAATGTCAATTTGCTCAGTAGAGAAATTTTGTAGTTTTAGTTTCTAAATACAAAACATTGATGAGAAAAAGAGCAGCCCAGGATTTTAAAAATCACTGATCTAAAAGTACATTTTTTCCTTTTTTTATGGGGGAGACATATGTATATTCTTGAAGGCTTTAGTAAATGAGCTTTTGTCTATAATAAGTAATAAAGTATCCATAGATTGTGATATTTCCATATCAGACAGACCTTTTCTGTCACCCCTAAAACTAATTTCTCATCAGATGATATAAATACTAATCTAAATATTGGGAGCATAATTGTAAGTGTGTAAAAGTATATTTCACATTAAAAGAATGAACTTGAAAAAATTGGGACAATAGAACCCAGTGATTAAGATGCATTGCACAGAAATGAGAAATCCAAGCTGCAAATGAGTGCTGGGAGCCTGCTCTGGTTTTTAAAATAGTTGATCTGTTCTCAAGCTTCTATTAAATTATAGAC